CCGAAATATTTTTTTATACCGATATTTATAATAAAAATTTTATATACCCATATTTGTTGCTGTCATATCGGTATAAAAGGTTTGACTATATATAGAATCTGCTGTCAAATGATATATAGCATGCTACATTCGAAATGCTGGTTGTGCTGCCTTCTCGTTGATATTTTTGTGGCATTACGATTGTTATTCGCTTAGGAAGAGATGGCGCGTTTTAGATAGAGACAAGTATTCCAATCTATAGGTTTTCGAATTAAATCCTGTTGTCTCTGAGTTTGGACCTGTCTCAGTTCAAAAACCCAGTCACTCGGACCAGAACTGAGACAGAGATATTCAACAATCCCATCGGAAGGGAATAATCGATTGATCTGAAAGTCAACACGAGGTTCACAGGTCAAGTATTTATAGTTAGGAGAAGCGACAGTTCCGTTTGAAAATGGCCACATCTCAGGTCAAGCGATCCTCATAGTTGAACAGTTGATAATTTGTAGCCAAAAATCGGTTATTATTATCGCGCAATTTCATTAGTTACTCTGCAGGACTAGCTGATTTACGTAATTTCAAGATACCCGAAATCTTTGATGGTTAAGCTTGTTGATTTTAAAAATAACGGTCCAGAAATTACTTAATTAAATTGAAGGAGTCACATGACTGTTCATATACTAATCTCCCCAAATTTGTGACATGTCCACAGATTAGCATGGTGCACAGGTTGACTCTGGATTCAACCAAGGAATTGTTGCGAGTGGTCTACACGTATTATCCTCCTTGCCCTTCTTCTTATATTCGTTGAATTCACCTTATACGCTCTTTATTCCGAGAGTTGCACCAACCGTTATTTCCTGGTCCGCCAGAGCCAAAACAGCGCAGAAGTTAGTCATTACTTTCTTTTCGAACAGTGTTGTGCGATTACCACCTTCCTCCACAATCGATCGGCCTATTTGTCCAATAAGCCAAGCTTTTTACTATCATATACTCGCCGTGCACTACTGGGACAGACTATTGTTCTTGCTGTTGCTATTTCTTCATCCATTGCTACGACCATCGTAGCCTGATTAATAACTTCTGGTATGAAAATTTAACAAAAGCATGCCAGAGTTGATAACTGAACCAGGCATCAGTCTAGCGTCTTCTGGTAGGGATACTTTGTGTATAAGTCTGTTGTGATATATAACTTTGACCGAACCTTTGTCTCACAGTTCAAAAAGAAGTTAACCGTGTAAGAATGTCTACGTCAAATACTGCTATACGTGATGACCCTCTCAGAGAACGCACAGTACGTAACTTTTTTTTCTTTTACGAAACGAGCACAATGAACATTATTAGAATATTTACGATAGGCGACATTCGATATGGGGTTAGGTTATTCTGACTACTCCCTTCTCAGATATTTCTGAGTCTGAAGGTGAAAATCAAGAACCCGGCCAAGGCTACGAGTCAGAACCTGAGGAAGTCATGAGCCCCATTGAAGCTCGAGTAACGTTAAACGAGCAGTTAATCAAGGCAGGATATCTGTTTAAGCGACAAGAGAGGAGAAATGTTAGAGGAAAGGTTGGGATTCATTTTTCCATAAGTCGTACAATTCATGACCATAATATCTGAAGCTCGCAACTCTGCTTGTATTTATCATTGCAGCATTGGAAAAAACGTTGGTTCGTTTTAAGGTCATCGAAGTTAGCATATTACAAAGATGAAAAGGTATGAAATAGTTTAATGTGTGTTGTTGTTGTTGTTGTTGTTGTTGTTGTTGTTGTCTGTCGTTTTTTTTTTTTGCATTATGACAGTTCTGATTTGCTATCTTTTACATCAGGAGTACGAGTTAATTGGTATCATTGATATGAGCGACGTTGATACTATTGCTGAGGTGAAGAAAAAACCAAACGTCTTTGGCATTAGTACTTCAAAACGTAAATATTATATGAAAGCGTCAGACCAAAAGGAACTTGATGAATGGATTAAAGAATTAAATACAGTCAAAGATCAAGTTCAAGATGTTGACGTACCAGAAGAAGAGGAAGATAAAGGAGACCAAGCAGTTTCAACTTCTCGTTTTCGACGGTTTTTCTTGTAGTAGGTATAACTATAATAGTTAATAGAAGTTTCCATAATCAGACTATTACTGTAATGAGTACCATCAAATGTATGAAATTATCCTTATTTTACTATTCCTAAATGCAGACGTATCTCCGGCGCATCCGATTTAATATTCTTTCAAATAAATTTTTGTTCTCTTCTCATGATCTATGCCGCATACATATAATATAACCTTCATCATGACGCACGCGAACACCCGTAAAACGACATTCATTGTATCGTGTGTTACGAAAACAATGGTGGTATAACAAAAAGGAACTTTTGAATTTCTAGGGACTAATTAAAGGCAGCCGTGAATAAGCACCCCCAAGATTATCTAGATTAACTGCATGACGTACCCTCCTACTAACAGTTCATTACGTAAGTATACAGAATACCGTATTGCTTTGACTAAAGTACCCCCCGAGCAAAGTACCCCTCAGCAATTTTGAGGCCTGATTTTGCAAAAAGACCTGGGTACTATTGTCGGAAAAATCAATATTATCGCGTAGAATACCCGGGGTATTATAAGCGGATATTCTCATATAAAACAAAATTTTTGATAGTAATAGGGGGGGGGTACTTTACACAGATATACATATACCCTCCTCCCATCAAAGTACCCCCCCTGATGAAGTACCCCGGGTACTATACAAAAACAGTAAAATATCCGGGGTACTTTAGTCAAAGCAATACGGTAACCTCAACGCTGTTATGGCCGATCATTTTAATAATGTCGATAAGAGTTGTTGACGATCCTATCGTGAATAAGCACCTCTCTATTCACGGTAGTATACGGTAAACAAAATTTGAATAAAACATTATAGTCAAGAAATCCAACACACTTATCCAACACTTTTAACGTCCGCACAGTATATTTCCTTATATGGGTAATTGACATGATTTGACCAGCAACATGCATATTATTAGTAGCAGTAATTTTACTCCTTGGCAACTGTTGCATTTAAAAATCATTAATCTGTAGGTAAATTAGACACTTATTTTTGATAAGAATATTGTTATTATGCTTTCTGCATTTTGATCATTAATACCTTATTCTGAACTTTCAAACAAGCTATGGTGCAAAGACACCCCTAAGGCTTTTATATTATGAGGGTTTAGAGAAAAACTAATAAATCAACTAAAAATGTTGACGTCCAGTTTGTGCAACTATTTGTGTACCAGTCCATTATCCAATAACGTGAAAGTTTAGCATGTCTCAAGATAAGAGGCAAATTTATTGAAGAAAATGAACTCAACCTGAATCAAACACATTTGAATTTTATATTAATTATGACTTTTTTCAATAAATGCAAACGATTTTGAATATTACAGTTTAAGATGCACTTTTTTATCTTGTCTATACCGATTTTGTGTAACATTAGCAAAAAATTCGATAAATGCAACAAAGCTAATGTATTTTGCCAACTTTTTGTTTAGAGTTATCATGAATGCTGAGGCCCCTTGAACCCCTTTATAGTCGCACGTGTTGTGTATTACAGGAAAATTTGTATCTACCTTGTGTAGTACATGCGAAAATTAGTAATTGTCAGTAATTATATTTAGGACCGGCCTTAAATCCGAGCCATATAACTATTTCAATCAAACTTATCAAAGCAATCTTGGGAACGAAAAACGTCCAATTCAATAATTTTGTGTTTGGAGTACTATAATAATGGTTGAGCTATGGGGTAAAATGACAGCTTACTCTCATTGCGTTTTGGTAAATTGGGTTGGTATTGTATGACTACGCCCGCATATTCGACTACGGTCATCCAATAAAATTGTTAAATCGTAACGTATTTGGTATATCAAAGCGCATAACAGACGATGTAGCAATCATAGTTACAGTTATTTATATTAGAAACTATAGCTGCAATTAATCGTTAACATTACTTTGTCGGTTAACTTCACGTAATTATATGTTGCAATAATAATGAAGGCACTGAAATAAACAAAAACCTGAACGATATCAAAACCTGGTAAAGTCACACCACTATCTATCAAAAATTGGGCAAATTTTATATCTAGTCAAAATTAAGCTATATACACGGAATAATTGTGAGTTTTATTGATTATACATCGGTATAATAATAACGACTTTTATCGGTATAATCAGAGGCTCTCTTTGTTTATGAAAACCTCATTATAAATATATCTAATTTCATCACATACTTATGAGTTAATAAAACTATCTATTGTTGATTGTTTCTGACACATAATAAGCAAAATCCTCGGGAGGATTTACCAGAAATTCTATTGCGCTACTAACACCACCTAACGCTTCAAAACCAATAATACAAATACACATGTATCCTACATATATGATAACTGAGACAAGTTGATTGGTCAATTGGTATAACTAATATAGAGGTTTATCGGTATAAGCAGTACACGAAATACTTTCACAATCCAACTTAGTAAGATTTTTTAATTGACCGAGTTTTAGTCGCCGTTACTTTATTAATACGGAAGACATTGCTCGCTGAGTAGGTTCTTTGGAGTATTTAAAGAATATGAGTAAATTAGAAGAATTATATATTTCCAACACTGACCTCAACAGCGGGGTCGGCAGAATAGTTAGTAAATTTGTGATAAAAGTTTGTTTTTTGGTTTATTCGTTTGTGGTTTTTTTTTTTTATTTTTTTTTTATTTATATAAAAAAAATAAACCAAAAGAACAGCCAATTAACGTTTTAAGGCATTATGCGAGGATTTAAAAGTTAAAAAATTAATTTAAAATGGAAAAAGTAGAGTGAATAGTCAAAACAATGAAAGTTTCGGCGATCAATTATTATTTTCTTTATTATGGATTAGGATTATTAAAAAAAAGGAGAAACACTTATTTTTCAGAAATTTCATCGGTATACGCAGTTATCGGTATAAGAATATCGGTACAAAGAGGTTTGACTGTAGTCAAGATCCAGCACACTTATCCAACACTTTTAACGTCGCACAGTATATTCCTTTATGGGGTAATCGACATGATTTTGACCAACGAAAATTCCGGACGTTTGGTAAAGACGGAGAGAAACAAACTTGTTCTAACTCAATAAAAGCAAGGCACAACGGTATTTTTTTTGTTAAAAAAAGAAGCGGTGATACTATTTCAGTTAGTGGCAAATGTACAAAGAGGATTAGAGACATTTCAGGTGGTAAGAGCAAAATACAACAATCCGTAGTGTCAAAAATGTTGCGTATCCCAAAGACCCAGCAACATTGCAGGCTATTAACAAGGAAAACGCAAGGGAAAATATTTTCGGATGAGTAAAATTTAGCTGATCGTTTATCTGTGGGTACAAATAATAGTATTATCGTTATTTAAATAAAGTTATATGTCAATTATACCATAGAATATAAAGTCGGAACAGCGTAGATTATATATGCCTAATATGATCGCAATCTTGCGATGTTTGATTCTAATATGAAGCAAACATGCATAAAAAATCCGACTAGCTATACATGAGTAACGAAGATTCTTACAATACATGCGTTTAATAATATCTTATATGAAATCTCGATAATTCGGTTCGTACAGCTGTAAGTGATCAACTGTATAAATTTGGTATCGTAAAAGCCCAACTTTAATTCGTCATTTCCCTATATGTAATAATTTAAAATTCAGCCGTCCAAATCACAAGAGTTTGATGGATCGTTACAAAAAAATACTGGTAAAAAACGCCCCCAAACCCTATACTCATCTTTATCGTTTCTTGAACAACAAGATAACAATAACATTAATATTCATGCAGATGATTTAGTCAAGTTTCATATTATCGTAAATTACAGTATAAAAGGCATCCTTAGAAAACCTTTTCCACATTGTCACACCATGAATCGATGATTCCCCCCATCTACGATAATTCGGCCGATTACCTCGGAAAGTTGGTGTTCGAATTAAAGGCAGTATACGGTATTTGATTTATAAATGAACAACTAAGAAAATAGAATTTTTGTTGCAGGATTTTATTATGTAAAGCTATCGTCCTATTATCCGATTCACGTGACCGAAAAGTGGTGGCTTTAAACTGCGTGTAAAAAGTGTAAAAAGTGTACGTAAATGTCCTATAAACTTGCTTTTCCCATTAGGTTGTTGATCTTAATCTCCCCACCCACATAAAACCAATCTCATCTCATCATGCAAACGTAGCTTACTTAGCTTCAGAGTTTCAGATACTGCTTACAATAGATCCATCCTCTATTGATGGATCTCTTTATGATCTTTGGGCATCAGCCAAAATCACCTAACTTTGTGTAACCGATAATATCAGCCAAATCGGATGATTAGTTTATTATAACGAGGGAGGTTTGTTATATATAACTTGGCTGATGAAAATCTTTACTATATAACTATAACGGGATGATTAAGTTTACTACTATAAAGCGATATTTACTTTAGAGACTATATTATAGTGCATTTTGAGTGCGTCTAACTCAACAATACCAATTGATTGCTTCATAGTAATATAATGTATACTCAGCAAGTAAGGAGGACCAAGAAATACAACGATTATTTAGTAGATGTACAGTTAAATAACAGCCATGTAAAGCCTTCCTGCAGCTTCAAGGTGTCCGTCGATCTTCTATTAACTTCCGATTATGACAATACCCAGCGTATCTAATTTGATAAATCCATGTTGTCCTTATTCCCCTTCTTTTGTCGCTTTTTTGCAGTAACCGACTCCCCATTTACTCGTGCTTGTTGTTTAGAAAGATTCACATTCTTCAATTCCCGTTCATGATTTGGATCCATTTTCATACGCTTATCTTCTGTTTCGGATTCTGTCGACGAATTATCACTATCATTTGAATATTCATCATCCTCGTTATTAAATGATGTCGTGTGAGAGTGTTTAGCGTTAGCATAGTTGTTCGTAGCAGGTGAACGGTGAGGACCATTATGAGATGAAGCATCGTATGTTTGTGGAATGCTGGGAAAATGAATGTTCCCCATGGCCGCAGCACCACCGCTTGGAATCCCGACGGATGATAATTTATCGACCCATGCTTCCGCTCGTATTACACTATCCGCGAATATTTGGCAAACGCTACCCAGCATCTCTTTGGATTCGTTGGCTAAGCTTAGTAATCTTCTAGCATAATCAGTGGTTTGGTTGATAGGATGAGCGTTTGCTGGTGGGAGATGAGGGGAAGACATGGGAGAAGGCGAGGTAGAATGCTCTTGGCGATTTACATATTCCCATTTTTTGGGAAGGCTGAGAATAAAACTTCTTACACTACGTCTTGCTTGCTCTGATAGGCAGGCACCAGCATATAGACTTATTACCTCAATCACTTTCCTCAAAGTTTCTACCACCTCTTTCTTTATAGAGGCCAGGGTAGCTGAAGCTGATGAAGGTATCAAGGCTGTATTAGATGACGGTGTGGTAAGATTGAGGATAAATTGACGGAGGACTGCGATTTGTCTGTCAATATGTCGTGTGGCGTATAGGAGCCATTGTTGACAATATTTCAATGACTTCATACTCTCTTCGGAAACAACTGCTCCTACTGCAGCGATAGCAGCCCCTCCATCCATTACTAACTGGGCATAACTTCTTCTCGACGTAGATGCTGCACCAGAAACGACACTACTATTATTAGGATTAGGATAGGGGGAATATGATGCGCTTGTTGAAGAGCCATTGGATTGAGAAGTTCTGTGAATTCTTCCTCCCGGTCTATGAGATGGTGAAGAACTCTTACATTCACGTCGTCTCCGCAGTTCATTATCTGCTTCTAAGACATTGTCTTGCTGCGTATTCTGGGAACCCATGACTGGTCGCGATAGAGTTCTGATTCCAGATCCTACCAACTGCAACATAGGTGAAGTCGCCACTGTTTCTTCATATGCCTTTCTGGTCTTATTTAAGACTCTATCGAAGAGACCTGTCGCAGACGATGGGGCTGAGCCGTTATCGTCTTGTGTATTCTGTTGCAGGTTTACCTCTGAAAAAGCAAGTCACGGAGCAAGTATGAGCGTTTATTGTATATTTTGTTGAAGACAGATACATAACGATGATGTATGCAATATACTTACCACTTGACACAGTCTTGCTCATAGTTAATAAGGCACTAACCGCCCCGCTTACTTCGTCAGTATCGTCCGTATTGACTAACTGACTAATAGACATCCTCGAGTCTGAAGTTGTTTGTTGAGAAGACAAGGAATGTGGAGAAGTAGTAGGTTCTTCATGGCTAGGGCTTGGATAGTTAATATTTGGAACGCCTGCCTCTCCGAGAGTTGGATGTATTGGGAGAAGAGTAGATTGTGGTTGTGGTGATTGTGGTGATGGTGGTAATGTTGGTTGTTGTTGCTGTTGTTGTTGTTGCTGTTGTTGGTGTTGTGTTGGATACATAGTGTGAATGAGATGTGGGAGGTGTAAAGAAAAAGTTATTAAAATTGTATGACACGTAACAACAACTATTATACAGAATATGCAAGTTTTTTTTTCTCTCGGGAATGTCTTGAAGTGTGGCGAGTAAAGGATAATGTCGTAAAGGAGATATTGAAAGCGCCTTCAATTGTTTGTATGGGATCATGTGAATACGGATGGTATGACTTCACATGTCGGAGTTCTTGTGAAACAAAACAAACAAATCAACATAAATATTCTTCCTGTTGACCCCTTTTATTCACGCTCTGTGATACTGCTTGGTGACATTCATGTGATTAAGTATATTTAACCTCTACCTCTTGTAAGGCATGTATTGATTAGTATGTCCAATAACATTCTCATGGCGAAAACAGTAATTTGCGGGAAAAAAGACAAACCAAAAAACAGTAACTGCAACAATAAAATGATGCGATTATTGCGAAACCACAAAGGGAACGTATTACGTCACTCTCATTAACTTATGCACAATTTATTATTCGCATGAGAAATTATGTAACATTTATTGCTGACCAATTAAATTCACACCAGGTGATTCATGACAAGTCTGACGCGGTTTTGTCACAAGTTGTCAGTAATGGATAATAGATATAGCAAAATACTAGACGTGCATCGAAAAGCAACAATAGTTATCATAAATAGAAGCAAAATATGCTCTTCTCGATAGGTGCTGTCCTTTAATGTTCCATGTTCCTATATTCCTGTATTCCTATATTCTGATGTTCTCTGATGTTCTTAATGAATTAATAATCACTAAGAATGGAGCTGTCATTTATAGTAACTTGCCAGTTCAGTCAAGACGGAAGTCCGCATCTGGTTATAATGAAATAATGAAGATTTGTAAATAATGAAGATTGTCCCAAAACGTGAGAACTTGGTTATAAGATTATCGCTATATTATTATTGTCGATTCCTCGCTATTTGAATAGGAATTTCATCCAATAGCGATAGAAGGACGAGAACTTAGGGTCCGATTTATTGTAATTAAGAAGTTTAGATATTGATTACATGAGCTGGAGATTTGTTAAGACTGTTTAATCTCAAGCACGCCGATAATTCGCACTCTCGTTAGCTGGCTATATTCAAAGTGAGGAGCTTTACTCCAGTTACAAAGGAGCTAACATAATCATGTATCACATAATAATAACAGTTGTTACGCCCTCTTGCCCTATAAAGTTTGGTCTGGTAACGTCTGATTAACATACATTTACTATTACTTAACTTTATTAATTGCTCAAAAAAGTGCACACATAATTGAGGCTAAATTTTCATATAATAATTTGTTACTTGCAATACATGCTTTGATTCTTCGAGACATACTTTTAGTAATAATTTGGCTCCATTGCCTTCGTTTAACTGAAATGACCGTATTTTCTATATTAAATCTTATTCCGAAACTTCTCCAAACACAATCTGGACCATTATTCTTGAAGACCGTAAGCGACATCACATTTTTCTTTGCCATCAGTAAGTTAAAAGTTGGATGACGAAGTACGTGAAAAATTTTTTGCGCAAATCTCTCCTAATATCTTAGTACCTCCCAATTTGCAATCTGATCCAATTCGAAAGGCACGTTATCTAAATATCACACCAATAAGCGACATCTAATCAACATTGTTTTACGAAATAAATTGTCTATTTCGAATTGGGTCATATTGCGATTTGGGGCAAAACAGAAGCATTTTTTGTTAAACAGATTTTTGATGTGTTCAGCTAATTTTTTGTTGTTTGCTTAACAGCTCGTTTTAATATTTGTTACCTTCGAAATTTAAAAGTCTTGGACAGCCACCACGCGATTAGATTGCGAAATTTTCCTTCCGAGAAAATTTTGAACAGTTTTTTTTGTTGTTCAAGGAAACTCAAAATGTTTAGATATTCCTCAACAATCGCGGGAGAGTGATTGACTATTGACGTTAGAAATTTAGCTAATTTTGAGCGAAGTGTGATTATCCTAATATTAGTTACGATCCCCGGCAAAGATAAACTTAATACAAAAAACCAGTTACATATTATTATATTAATACGCACACAATGGTGTTCAAAAAAAAAAAAAGACAAATAACTTGTATGTATAACTTGGCCAATTTCAAAATAACGCGTAATCAATGGATCAAACAAAGCTTATGTAGTGGACTATTATTTCCAAACAGACTTATTTCATTAAAATCCATTTTTTAACACCTTCGGCAGTATGGACTGGAGCATTATCACCTTGAAACTAATACCGTCTGCAATTAAAATTTTCCTTATAAAAGGTTTTCAAGTATTTTTTATGTACTCAACAAAATCTGCTGATCAATTAGTAAAGCATATGAAAAATCAATTTTTTTTTCAAAAAGCTCTAAAGTACATATTTACTATATAAGTCACAATAACATCATTTTGAAGCAAATCAGTTGTACTTTAATAAAAAATTAAAAATTTAATCGGTTATTGCAATAAAGATGTTATTCGAAGTATGTTACACGGTTTTTCGTAAATTTTATCCGTGTAACAAGGAACTTGGTGTCCATTCTGCCCAAAATATAAGAGAGAAAAGCTGTGTCATGAGATTTAACGAAGTATCTTGGTGCCCCTTCATCAATCCGCAGACCCGATTTCTTAAAGACACGAGAATATCCAAATGGACTAGAACTTGATATATTTTATCTGCAATATGGCTTTGCAATCGAAGTACAAGGAACGAAAAATAGAGATCCCAATAATTTTATTAAACAATGAGAGCGGGATAAACTCAAGAAAGAATTGTGCGAAGAAAACTGGATTGCTTTAAGGTATGTATTACGAAGATCCATATATAGTTATTCCAGAACATATCGATCGATATCGATATTCGAGAATTGGGTCTTATTAGTAAACCTAAAACTTTAATGCTTTATAATTATATGATTATTTTTTCATGTTCCGAATATAACAAAAAATATACTTCCAACAAGTAGTAAAAAGGTTTATTTTTCCGACACACATCACAATATAAAAGTACTGGGCACACGTTTCCGCTGGATGCAGTTATATACGGCGAAATAGTTCGAGGTATAAAATTTGGTGCGTTGGGGGTGATCATAATATAAATAGTAAGATTCTAAATCTAAATATTATCAAATATAGTAATGATAAACATATAATACCTACACATAGAAACTTTCGAGTACTGAGAGCGTTTTTAGAGTATTGGGCATCTTTGAATGAGAAATACAACCAAGTCGTAGTATATTCGTCGCTTTACAGTCCATTCATGAACCCATCTTAGCAAAAATTGTTAGTTGATGCAATTTCATTACTACAACCTGCTTAATTACCCCATAAGTGTATTCCAAGGACAAATATGGAATGAATGTCAGAGCTAGGTGCTTTAGAATTCTCTCTAAAAGAACGTATATAAGATATCCCGCATTGCCACGCTTAGATCAACTTTGTCTTCGTAATTTTTTTTTATGAGGCTCTGGGAGTCCACCATTCTGAGACCTATAAGAGCCTCAAACCTGTTGATACTCTTTTTCAAAGTTCCTCGAAAATCGCACTTTTGTCCAATGCGAGCTCTGAAAACAACGGAACGACCTTCATTTCGGCGATAAGCTGACGCCCAACATGCAATTTCTCCACTATAAGAATATGTAAGATAGAATTTGATTACATGAAATCAGACTGGTCATGTTGCTTATCTATACTTACACATTCATTTTTAGTTCCTCCCTATTTAAGAATCTTTTGGCAAGCATGTTGGGAAATGCGTTGTCGAAGTCAGCCTCGGAAACGGGAAGATCAACTCTTTCCAGATTTTCAGCACTATATGTGTAAGGATTGGCCGTAAGGAAAACAAAATAAAGCTTTTGATCATTATATTTTACTTCACTCACTAGGCCTGTTCGACGGCAAAATTGTATCAACCAATCAAAAATCCGTGAGATTGAGGACAAATTTCGCGTTTCCACGTTCCGTTGTTTTTCTTTTCACTCCAAGATTTCAAGTGTTAGTCTTTACAAAAAATATATATTTCTAAAAGCCATTAGAACCCTTTTGCGCAACATATCCTTTTATTTTTTACGCTTATTAATAAAACGTGTGTGGGATGAGGATGGGAACAGATAGGAACTGCAAATTTGTTGTTCCCATCTGTTCCATCATGTGATTTGAATCCGCCAATCAGGGATCGGCACAAATTGTAACGGAACAGAATACTACGTGACAACAGCCCGTCTTAAAATGGAAATAACATTTTTCCCTCATCGCTAAGCCGACTTTCCGATTCGTTTCAATAATTTCCGGGTTTAATCCATCGATCGCGTTGATGATATCTTTATCATCTTTTTGTAATCTAAATTGTTCGAGTCAGCAACATTTTTTAAAACTGTTGAAACAAGACAAATATTTTCTCTCAACTTACTTTTTCAATTTTATCGAAAAAAATACTCTACCACATCAAGAAAATCCGATTCGATCAATTTAACTTCATTATTGAAACTTTCAACCATTTCTTCCCAGTCATTCGTCGAGAAAAGAGATTTTATTTGGAAATTCTCGGTCAAATCAAGTATATTCCAATATGCTAGGCTATAAGTGAAAAAAATTCATAATTAAAAAAAACATCACTAACGTCTATATTATCTATCAATAACCTACTTCAAACATTAGGGTGATGAACATTGACAGTGGCTCGTTTTTCTGTTATATCTATAAACAACTTAATATTAATACTCCCACCTTTTGGGTCTCAGGAATTGTCTTGCCATTTATCTCCTACATTTGTACCACTATGAAACGTTGACAGGTTGATGACATTAGCTTGGATTCTTATATACGTTCCACCAAGTTAATATTACCAATATCGTTGCTGGTAATATCGTTATGAATCTTTTCATTATTTCCCTTGTCCATAAAGAATTTGTCGATCTTATCTGCAGACTCCTCTTCTTCCTGATCTTCTTCCTCCAGATTTTCACTCGTGTTCGAATCTGGATCAGATTTCATGTTTTTTGCTGATGACCCATCCTGTAATAAAAATTACCCAACCTTTTTTAGCATACTCATTGAAAGCCTTTGAGAAATATGACTAATTTACTTTCTTTATTTAACGACAATGTGTTTATCTCCTCACGAAAATTAAGATTGGTATTACGTATACCACGACGAACTAAAATCTATATATTAATATGTATTGTCAATATTAAATCAAACCATTTAAGAGTCAACAACTGGATATACCGCTGTTTTTTTGTTTCCCAAACTTCTAAATTCTTGCTTCCCGTCACAAAAGAGAGCACATAAGAAATTGGCACTTCATTTAATTATGTACATTGGCTGATTTTTTCATTTCTTCGAACTTATTACGCAACTCCTCATCAACGGCTTCCTTAAAAGCAAGGTCGAACACCTTCTTATACTTTTCAGATGCTTTAATTCGGTGAGATAGAAATATAAATCGAAAAAATGCAAGTGGAGTTGGATCAGGACAAGCTAACATCCAGTCGACGTGGCGGGATATTCTTTTTATGTTGCGTGATTTTCCCATTATCAGCTCAAAATAGAAAAAAAGTTTTCAGCATATTGTTGATCAAAGCAAATGAGATAAAAAGCAAAGCAGTTGTTCTTCAGATAAGGCCGGCCACCAACTATTACGATGACTTGCATTGCTGGCTTCCAACAGTCTCCCTCTGTCGCAGACGCCTTATTTGCTAAACAACCCTCCGATAACTCTAAGCGAAAAAGTCAGCCGGCCATCAACTATTACGACGACTTGCCATTACTGGCTTCCAACAGTTATCATTAATGGATTGCCATATATCGGACACCTTAGATGACGTAGATAGTTAGTGACGATGACAGAGAGAATTCCGGTGAAAAAAATCTCAGTAATAATAATCATGATATTGAGTAGTTAAACGAATCTCTACTTTTTGTAAATTTATATTTTTATAATGAAATTTGTTACAAATTTGGACGTGCTTATTTTTAACATATATACAAAGGTAAATGTGCTTATTTTTTGGAATTACATATTTCCGATAATACAATTTAATTTTTTAGATTTAATAAAGCGAGATTTAAAAACTAAGGAGAGCGTATTAACTTCGAATAACATCTTTATTGCAATAACCGATTAAATTTTTAATTTTTTATTAAAGTACAACTGATTTGCTTCAAA